AATCATTACAACAATGAATATTTTATTTCTATGGTATGTTAGCATACACGCAATAATAATACAGATAAAAGAAAAATGACACTTATGGTATATAAAACTTTTATTTTCTATTCAGTGGAAAAGTAAAATAAATACGTTTAATGAAGACTTTTCTTTTCGAAATTTAACAAATACTCATTCGAGTTAAAACAGCTTGTCATCATATGATATTGGCAAAATTAACTTACATAAATCATTTATTATAAATCTATAATATATGTATCTATTGTATTATTATTGCAAAGTAATAACAAATCAAAAGACAAAAGCAAAACCTAGTCCAAAATGCTATCCAGTTTACTGTCACATCTATCAACCATGTACGTATTGTGTATTGTGTACTATGTAAAGTGCGAGTATATTTGCTTATAATTTACATTGACAATGTTGCACAGCATAATATCCGCATATAGGAGGCATACTGTCTGAACACTTTAGATACATCCTTTTCGCTGTTTTTAATGTTTGTTTATTAACGGGTATATGTACGTGTCATGGATGCAAATGCTGAAATGGTTTCTCCCCGTTTTTTCCTTTTTTCCCATCATTTCTAAATAACATTATTACAAAATTTATGGAGAAAATTGGTGTACTACATCCAGACAAATGGATGTAAGTTAAAAATGTTAGTTTGCAATTACGCTATTCATTTTACTCAATTTAAATTCTTTTACTAACTAATTTTATTCATTTCAGTAACATTCAAAACCCACAATTTAGTAAAACTACGCAACGCAATCACAAAATCTTGACGCACAAATTTATTTATATATTCAGCATTTGGGTATAAAATGTTGGAGATACTTTTAAAATATAACAGCACATTTTTTTATTTGCTATCTTGCAGAGCGCACAATTTCCTACATTCACGAAAGCGGTACAAAAGTTTACAAATTACAAACATTTTAGAACGTTTCAATAAAAACTTCTACTTCTACTTGCGCCAGTATGCAAAGTAGTTACTGCATATAATGTAACAAAGTTTATGTAAAACATGCGTGTCCCTCCCTCGTTCGGGCGAAGCACAGAGAATCCACATTTGTGCTACTTTATTGTTTGCACTTGTGGTACCATTGATCACAATTCATCGATTATCATTGAATTTAGTATCTTTTTGCTTCTATATTTGAATTTAGTAAAGCGTGCCAGAGTGCAAAATATTAAAATCATGGCTTCATTGAAAGTTCACTTCATTCATATCGCTGCTGGAAAATTTTAATAAAGTTCATAAACAAAAAAAAAAAGCTAATTAAAAATTAAACTTCTACATGTGGCTACAGTATGAAATTAGAAATGTAGGAGTAATTTATGTGAAAATTAAAACGGAAAATTAATTTTGTAATAAATTGTTTTTAAAGTAAAGTGTAAATGTGAAAACTTATCAACCAGATTAAATCAATTGAGAAAAGTTGATCCTTTTTCGAGCAAGTACTCACGCCTTAGGAAGCAATTAAATTTCAGCATTAATTCCAATATTTATTTATTTATTTGTAAGTTAACTCCAAAATTAATATTAAATTTAACTAAGAAAGTTAACTAAGAGATATCGGTCTTTTGGTAGGTTTACTTACAGCTCACATTAAATTAGGGAACCATTAGGCCCCCTTTCAATGAAATCTGTCGGAGCTGCGGAGAAGACGATGGGAGTACCTCTCATCTGCTATGTTTTTGCCCAGCTCATGCACGGCTGCGACTTAATACTCTAGGAGCTCCTTTTCTTGAGGACCTTAACCAATTACAGGAACTGAATTAAATAACAATTTATGCTTCGCCATAGGTTCTAGGTGGTTTTTAAACCATGAGTTTTTTCTCTATATATACGGTAACACAATGGGTCAATACGCTTAAGTGTATCCACCAAGGATCGGCGGTATAACCTAATCTAATAATAAGGAACTGCACTACAAGGTCCTTCGGCCTGTGCTTATATTCATGTTAAGAATTATTTCTAAAGTTAATATTTAATATGTCTTTGGGTCGGTGTTGCTTTATTATATTGTAGTCGCTATTCTTGATTGCGTTGAAGAGGCTGATGCGTTGATTGGGTTGTTGTAACAATTTATAAGATGAGCCACGGTTATAATATAACCACATCTCTTTTAAGCAGCTGTAATTTCAATATAATACAAAATAATTGAAGCACAGTACTAAATAAGCGCTAAAAGGATCAAATGTTATTAATGATTTTTTCCAACAACATGCATTTCAATTAATTAATATTAAACTCATACATACGCAGATGACATATTTGGCACAAACATACAAGCCAAAAGAAGTAGTTGCGCAAATATACTGCACTGCCTACAACCACTCCGCACAAACGTCATGCTAAGAGACAGAATAGAACCGATCAAAAAATATATAAGGGACAGAGTCCTAAAGTTATATGCGAAAATTGACAGGTAAGTAGTATATACTTACCATTATCTAATCTTAGAGTAATCACTCTCCGCACGGGGAGGTACGCAGATCTTAGATTAATCACTGAATAATCGTGAAGCTTATAGGCAATACATAAATTAGCCAATGAGATGGGTGGGACCCTGTACTACCCCCAGCTATCAAAGAGTAAAAGTGCCCAATTGCGCTGACTCGAAAAAAGGATCAACATATTAGGGTATTTGGATCAAATTATTTATATAATTTTTGTTTTCTATAAATTTAAAAATTTTATTGAAATGAAATTTTTAAACATTTATGGTTATTCCATTTCGTAATCAACAGAAATGTCATTCAAGTCATTATATATTTACTCACAAGATTTGCGTTTTTACAATATGCATCCTGGAATATGTAGTACTCAAACTGATAAAGTATGTGAACAGCAACTATTGAATGACGGTTTTTTGCAAGGAAATTTCTCAAAGATGACTTTCTTTTTGCGCTTGGTGGATGTGTCAGTAAAAGAAAATAAAAGAAAGACTGTCACAAATGAGCAATGACAATTCTATCGAAAGACTATTGCAACAACAAAAAGTCAGGCGTGAAAGTCCAGTCCTTTTTTTAAAATGCCGAAGACATGACACAAACCGTCAATTTTTTTTATGTAGGCAGGATTAGCAAATCGGTAGTCGATCCGAGCTACAAGGCATATACTACATATATTGCATTTTCTAATTTTATTCGGATTACTGGGGTATCTAAATTATCAGAGGTTAGCACTAGTGGAAATCTACCGTATGTATTAAAAACAAAAAGCGAATTTGAGGAATGAATGAAAGGGCCTCAGCGCAAAAAAGTTTTCACATTCATGGGAATAAAAAGAATAAAGCTTTGTATGTATTATATCTATGTTGGTATTTACGTTATTGAAGACTATAAATATAAATATATTTTATCTACGACATTTATGATTTCGCTCTAATATAACACAGTAAGTGAATTTGTTAATAAACTTTCACAGCAAATTAACAAAACTCCAAAGAACGTACAAGTTAAGTAAGGCTTTGGATCAGTTAGCTAATGAACGCTGACTCTGAGATTCATATTTGGCAGGGTACGAGTTCAATCCTTGGTACTTGCAGTCTCAAAAATAATTATTTACGAATAATTAAATACAAGAAATAGTTTCAAGTTGATGTTCCACTGATGATGGATATTTGGCAATACTCGAAACAACTGTATGGTCAGTCAAAAATTCATTTAATTAAATTAAAATAATAATAAAATAATGTAATAATAATATAAAATAGTATATAATAAAGAGTTTTTGTTGTTGTAGTTGACGACCTTTCAAAACCTCTCTATCAATATAGTAACATTAAAATAAAAATATGTGAGGTATGTAAAAAACATAAACAGTGAACGTCCAATATAACGAGTACCCAATTTAACGTATGTCCCGTCTACATACATAAGCATTATTTGTTGGTGATTCTAAATTTCGTTAACTTCTCAATGTAGCGAAAGTATTATTCCTTGACCATACGATTATAACGAATTTCACTCTTCTTTTATATAGAATAGCCAATTGCAGAATAAAATACGAATAAATAGAATAGAAACCACTCGCTAAAATAACATCCGAAGTTCCTAATAAAAATGCTGTGGAACACTTATTAGGTTATAGAAAATAAGGTACGTACATTTATCTGAATTCTAGTTTTACAAAGCGTTAAAGTGAATAAAAAGTAAATAAATGGTAACTGAACTATATAAAACTACATATCTTTGTTTAATATACTCAGTGGATTTAACGAATTTTTTAATTTAACGAATAGGCTGTACTGTACATGCATACAAAGAAATGTGTACAAAATATAAATACCAGTAGCTCGTTTATGTAACTTTCTCACTTCGTTTTCTCGAACGATTTTCTCACTTATGACAATTACTCACTAGAAGTGTTTATGTAACTGTGGTGAATTGTTTTCTCACTTTTTTTCGTTCGAGTTTTTGTCACCTGTCAAATTGCTTGCGAGAAGTTTTGAATTTTGAATGAAAAAAAGTGAGTTAAAGTGAATAAATTTAAATTTTTGGTACAAGTGCTATTTGCAAGCACTAAGCAACCTTTTAAAATTGTTTTATTTTCGTTCAATTTTTTCAAAAAACGTTCCATTTTTTCAAAAAACGTTCCATTTTCATCAGTTTCTCTCATCACACCATAACGTTCTCGTGTGGTGAATTTTTCATGTTACATAAACAGCAAACTCGAAAGAAGTGAGAAAAAGCAAGTGAGAACTTTTCGAAAGAAATCGTTCGAGTTAAACTCGAACGATTTACATAAACGAGCTACAGAGCGCAAACAATTATCATAAGAAAATTACTTATGCTTCACTGTAATGATACACATAAAATCAGTCAACTATTAATTAGTGCTGTTTACTAGCAATTAAAATATGGATCATTTAGTTGAGTGTTCGATTTATGTGTGCTAAGATCAATTATTTTTGACTTTTAATTAAAATGTAAAAAAGTGTTTAATACTATATGAGTGTAAATAATAATTGTAGTAGCCTTACCCCACAAAAACGCCAGTGTCCACGTAATGCGTGTAATAAAAAATTGTTACAACTGTTATTGCAAGCAGTGCCAACACACAGCGACGAACATTAATCGCCTTGAAAAGTGGTATGCCAAAACAGCAGCGCGCAATTAAATTACTGCAGCAATTGCAGGCAGCAGCACAATTTGGCGTTGTTGATAATGCTGATGATGATGCTGATGCTGATGATGTATATAAAGAGGCGGGAGTGGTAGAATTTGTGGACGGATGTGCTGATTTCAATAATTTGTTTTTTGGTGCAATTGCGAAATCTGATGAATTTGTAGATGTTGTTGTTGCCAGTGTCGTTATAGGCAATAAATGTGTAGTGGCGGAAGCTGTTGTAATAGGCGAGGACACAGATATAGATGAGGATATGGTCGCCGAATGTAAACCGTTACAAGAGGCGCCATTGCCAAAATATTTGCCATTGCTCGAGTTGCCATAAGGATGCAAATGTGAATAGTTTTCCTGGTGTTGTTGCTTATAGCCACTTAGAGAGCTACTACTGGTGCTACTGGTGCGCCAACTAATATTGCCACCTTCTTCCGCTGTTTTTAACGTGGCATAGTTGAAGCGTAAAGGCATTTCCTCACCATTGCTTGGTCCCGCTGCTGATGCTGCTGATACTGCCGTTGTTGGTGTTGCTGCTGCTGCTATCGCTGTTCTTGTTGTCGTTGTTGATGGCGTTATTCCTGTTGGTAATGTGGTTGAATTTCGCATTGCTATTGAAGCTGCCGATTTTTGCATTTCCGTCGTTGAAATTGGCCATTGCTGATGCTCTTGTTCCTGCTCCAGCAATCGTGCGTATTCATAGTTTTCATTTATTTCTCTGGCAGCGGTCGAGCGTTTCTGATTTGTGAGTTTTTCATATTTGAGCGATTTTCCTGGCAAAAGTTTATTTATTCTGCTAGTTGCATTCGTTGCATTTGTGGCGTTACTTGTCGTAGAACGTGGCATTGCTATTCGTATTTTATTAGAGCTACTTCTTGTGGATATTGGATACGATTATATTTTTGTTTATATTGGTTTTGTTTTACTTGTTTTGCAATTATTAAATATTCGCTGCGACTCGACTCGACTATCGGATTATTTATTTTTTATGTGCTGTTTTTATATGAATATTTTTTATCAATATTGTCATAAAGTTTTCTAACTTTCAAAATTAAGTCTGTGTCTCGTACCTTTTTCGGTGGTGACAGTTAATAAAGTTATTTCACGTTATTTATTTCTTGCAGTAGCTCTTTCGATCAGTACAGTTAGTTATTGGTGGCAGCAGTGGATATGTTGTTATTGACCTTTGAGTCTCTTTTTTTTGTAGTAGAATTGAACTTTAATTTTTTATTTATGGCACGAAAATTCGTAATGTACTACACTTCGGTTTGTGCGAAATTTTTCTTATCTTCTTATTTTTATTTTGTTAAATTAAATTGATTTTAAATTAAATTACATTAAAATTAAGTACGGCACTACAAATTTGTTATAATATAGATTATTTCAATTAATTTAAATTAAAGCTTTTATTTTCTATATTAAAAATATAATATATCAATTTATATAATTTTATTATATATATAATTATTATATTCTTTTTTTTTATTTTTTTAAAATATATATACACACACTTGTATACATGCGTTTCGTTTAAAATCCTAATCTTTTTTAATTTTAATTTTTTTAATTTTGTTTAATGTTTATTAAGTAAAAAACAAAAATCATTTGAATGTTCGCCACTTGATATGTTTCCAAATTTTAATATATTCAACAATTTGTGTATTTTGCGCTAAGGCCATTTTGTCTACTGTTTAACAAATTGAAACTGTGACTTTCGTTGAGTGTGGCAACACTGTAAAAACGAAATATAAAATCTTTGCATTTTAATATATTAAATGCTGTTGACAAAACTGTTGACTGTTGTTGCTTTTTGTGTATTGCCGCCGAGTTGGTTGCTGTGGAATAAATTTCATATTTCCAACGATGCAGAATTTTAAACATTTGTACTTCAAATTATTCCTGCTATGGAAAGCTTTTTCACTTGTGAATTGATATGTGCTTTATCGGTTGTCTAATATTCAACTGTCAACAGTACCAATTTTTTGTCGTTAAGCTTTCAGTTGACAGGCGAGCGTACCTGTTGTGAGTGGCATATTTATCTGTAAGAATAACAAACACGAAAAATAAATTAATATATAAATAAATTATTTAGTGCAAAATTAAAAAATCAAATTGCTTTAATTTTTTTTTATTTTTAGTTGAAATTTTACAAAGCTAGTTGTGTATGTTATATTTATTTCAATAAATTCCTAATTCATAAGTTTTCGCATATATAAAGCAATTAAAAATTCTTATTTTTTGTCAAAAATATATAATCTACAACTAATTGATAACAAATGTCGAAGTTTCACTTTTTATATACTTTAACTTTGTCAACAATTATAGAATCTATTAAAAATGAAATTTTATTTTCTGTAAATGTGCTCGACAAACAATTAATGCCTTTTATTTTTATATGTCATTTGCAATATATAAATACTGTCACAAGTAATATTTCATATATTTTGAAAAGAATATTAAATTCAAATTAATTAAAATTGTATATGTATATTGCACGTGCTCTCTATACAAATTAACATTTATTTTTTTTTTAGTACTGATACTAATGAACTGGCAGTACATAGTAATATATATAGTATAAATATACTATAAAGCGTAAGCATAGTACAAATAATTAAATCTTAACTACAATTATAAAAATTAAATGGAATTTGTAAAGCAATTACAAAATGTAATTAGTAAACAATTGGTAATGCTAACGAAAATAAACACCATTTCTATTTTAAACGCATTTTAAATCAGATATATTTGATTATAGTAGAAAACCTCGCTAGGTAACAGTCGTTAAATAGAATATCATTGCTGTTAGTTTTGTAACAACAATGCAAATTTAATTGAGTAGTTTAAACATGCCAACCAAAAAAATACTAAATGACAGGATAGCAGTAAAAATATTTATCTTTTCAAATATTTATAGAACCAAAATAACAAAAACTCAATTGTGAAAGAAATTTAAATTTTTGTATATAGCCGTTTTTACAACATATGACGAAGATATCCATTACTAAATTCACAGAATGACCCAATTAACTCAAATAAACTTCAAACTGCTATCATATTTGAACTGGTAGCATTAACCGTATGGAAATATTTTCGTATCCATTTTTAAGATAAAATTTTTTCAATGATGAAATTCAAATTTAAAATGTGATAACACTATATTTTAACTAAAAACCATAAGTGACAATTATTACAACTCTCCAACACCTCCTCAATGTTATAAGAATGATATATGGCTGTATTTTCGTCACTAAATCGAAGGCTATATCTGTTTAAAATATGCTGCAGTTCAATTCCACCACTCTATATAGATTCAAGTATATTAGGTTAGATATAAGTAATCAAATAAAATAGAATTAATGATATTTTTTAAATATACCGAAATCGATAATAGTTTTTTTACAATAATCTTGCTGTTACCAAGGAAGTTCTACTTTTTAATTTTTTTATATTTTTTTTTTATGAATTCTGATAGTCCTGATATAGTTTATCATTTCTTCTAATCTCTCTAACGTTCAATTGTTGGAGTAAGATTTACCGGAACAGAGAACTACAAGGAGCATTAATTTTTCAAAGAAACTTTATACTCCTTTAAGACAATAATAAAATATTGTAATCGCTGCGTTTTAGCAAAAAATCATCTAATCAAAGAACACGGGATATTAACTAAAACTAAGCTGGTTTAAATTCTGGTTCTATATGAAATTTATGCGCAGAATAATGTCGTTGGTAATGCGGTATCGTGTCGTTTTTGGCATGATACGGTATATAATACACGGTACAGCTGAAAAAATCAAATATTGACTAAAAAAATCATATAAATTCTAAGTATTAAAATTATTTTATAAAAATATGTCAATTTTTATTACGAAATCGGTAAATTTCTTGATATTCCCTTTCTTGAATAAACACCTTTTGTTATGTTTCAGTAGCAAACTAACTACTCTGGCCCATTTCTACTTAAAAAGCTTTTTTTTATTTGTTTGTCTTTTAATGCCTCGTACATAAATATACTTGTAGTTTTGATATTCATACAAAAATAAATGTATTATTATCTTAAAATCATCAAAAATAAAAAAAAATAACTAATAGATACTCTTAATCTATTTTTTTGATCAATATTTGCTACGCGCTGTAAACATTTATGTTTTATGAGGGGATATAATATTAGGGGATATAATTTTTCAGTAGTAAATTTCACGGTGCTGCTAAGTTAATTAAACAAAAAAAAAGCACCAAAATTACTTATTAGTTTTCAAATTTATTTATTTATTTATTAAACATATTAAAAGTTTTCAAGTTGGTTAAAAGTTTTCAAATTTATTTGTTTATTAAACATATTAAAAAATTTTCGCAATGGTAATACCTAGTTTACCTAGTTTTTTATCTAATTTACCCTACTCGAAATTTTGGTAAATGCCAACATTCGCAGACATACCGACATCATTTACTATTTCCCTCAATTTACCATCAATTTACTCGAACTCGCACAGGGCCCAATTTAGCAATTATTGAAAATGGTGTGGATTCTCATATTGTGTTTGTGCATCACTAATTTACACGCCATTTTTTGGTAAATGATATTTATAATTAATACATTACTTCAGATGAGTTCCAGCTTTTATATATTGTTATGCGAACGAACATAACTTTCTATTTAACTATATCTTCATTTGTAAATTTATATAAGTTGTGGAGGTTTTTTAGAACAGTAGTGAACCACAAAAACAAAAATTCATTTTATATTATTTTAATTAATTGAATTTTTAGCTGACCAAACAGCTGTTTAAAGTATTATCAAATACCCATCATCAGTGGTATTAGAAATAATTCTTGTATTTAATTATTCGTGAATAATTTTTGAGACTGCAAGTACCAGGAATCGAACTCATGTCCTGCCAAATTTGAGGTACTTGACTTGACTTTTATGTTCGCACATTTTTCTGAAGTTTTGTTACTTTGTTGTGAAGATTTTATTAACAAATTCACTTGCTGTATTTATATTAAATCTAAATTATAAATCAGCTGTAGAATAATTGAATTTATTAATTATATTTTTATTATTTTTAATCGTTAAATTTCAATACTATTCTGTTTGTGGAGGATTTATTCGTTGCGTGATTTATATATTTTTTCTTATGTATAGAACCTAATCCAGGAACGTATAAAACTTGTGTTTATTTGAACTCTTAAAGAGAGAAAGAAACGCAGTAAAACAGTGGAACGTATGAACACTTAAAAGTGTAGATTGATAAACTGGCATTGGCAACATCGTTTTTTAGCTTCGCTTCTGCTAATTAAGCAATGACGTATATATGATTCAAATAAAACAAGGCTTTTATTATTTGATATATCAATATATTATAATGGCTCCAAACTTAAATTGAATCGCAGCACTTTGCAATAAAAACTTTTCAATTAAAAAAAATAAAAATAATTTAATATATAAATGCCTTCGTAACTTTTTTAATGTAACAAAATCCACAATATTGTCTATAATGAAATTGCACATAAAAAAAAAAAATTAAGTTTTTATGTATTTATCATTAATTTAATTTTGGTAAAATAATTTCTACCAAAAATGTAAAATTTTTTATGATATATTTATGAAATGTCACTTAAAAAAAAAACACTAAAACCAATTGTTAATTCGTTAATACGATTTGTGGTATAACACGTTAAGGGATATAAACCACAATAAAAACTATTTTTAACAAAAACAAAAAAAAAAAAACAAAACCCACGAAATGTACAATAAAATTTTGTTTAAAAAAAAGCAATTAAAATTTTTCATTCAGAAGTACAACAAAAACAAAAGGTGCTTAGTGATATTAAAACTGTAGTATTCGTTGGTTTACATTTAAGCACTCATGTGCTCAAAAACGTGCGATTATCCGGATGTACATGTAGCAATTACTCCTACTTATTTCTTTCTCGGCTTAATTTTATAGCAACAGTGAAATGGAGCGGACTAGCTTCATGGGATATGGTATGCAATAAAGTTGTGAAGTATAATTTTAAGGTAGGCAAGGCAGACTCTATAAATGAGGACAAAATATATGTATATGTACGTATGTATACATAAATCATAAAATGTAACTAGTTGAAAAAGAATAATGATATGATATTGACAAGGATACTAATTTTTTAAATATTGTGTACATTTGTATTTTAAAATTATATGCAAAAAAATTTTAACAGCCACTTTATGTCTAGAGTATTCATCATTTCTGGAGTTATAGTGTTTTTTTACGCACAGTAAGAACTTTTAACACAAACAAAAATTAATTAAAATTTCTTTGAAATTCTTTTAAAAATGGAGT